GTATTTTTGGAAAGAGAAAATCTCAAACTTTGGCACAAAGTCTAAAGGGAACTGATTCATGACGAGGAGTCAGTTCTCAACTTACAAATACTACATGTGATAATTTACCTCTCAAACACACTTCATCACAATTTTCAAGTCATTATTTCAAAATCAGAAGAACGTGTATGCAAAATACACTGCAACAGCCATCAGAATACAGCACGCTAGAATATTTGAGCTTATTTTTAAGTGACATCTTATTTATCCACAACATTGCATACCTGCCCTTCTATCATTTCTCTCTACATCAATGCAGAACACGGGAATTCTCTCCTTTCTGTCTTTTCTTTCCAAGGAGGGATCGTCAAAAAAATCTACATATGGGATGCTAATTTTCCACGCAGTAAGGTTGCGGGGTGTGTTTGGGGTACTAACAGCCTCCTCCGGAGAATCGTCTTCCATCACCATAACACCTTCTTCAATCTGTAAAGTTGCAAACATCAACATCTACAGTTCTATTTTAATTGGTTCAATCTACCTTTGCAAAGCTTAGATATAAAAATGAAACATAAATTGAATCTTTAAGCATGTGTCAGTAACTAATAAGAGAACAAAAAGAATCCACTTCATTAAAGGAGTTTCCATGAAGCTTAATCTCTATTTTTAGATCTCCTGCAAATTAATTTGAAGTTAGCAGCTTTTAGTGAGATCTGAAAGCTTTTTATAGCACTGTGATATTTCAGGGAAAAAAACAAAGAGGAAGAGGAAGGGGGGACAGAAGTACTAAAGGAGACAGCTGGAAGAATGAACCCCACAGGAATCAGCTTGGGTCCACCAGAATTACCTGTGCTCCATTTCCAGCGTCCTAGGACACAAATTGAAGACAAGAGCTTACCAGGTCAGGCCAAGAAGCTATTTAAACACAACCATGACTGGGACTGAATTATTCCTGCAGCCCAGAGCTCTTTTTAAGCAAAGCCATTGTAACGGCTCCTGCATTCCCCATCAGCTCCAGCCTCAGCACCTCGCTCCCAGAAACAGATGCACCAGGGAGCAGCACGGCTCTAATCCTCGCTGGCTGCGCGTACGGCAGCTCTGGTGCACGGAGTTCATAAACTAAACTCCACATCATAAAACATAATGCTGATTTTTCCATATGCAAGCAGGCCTTAGAAGCTGTGCCATGTGAACGCTGCAGAAATCCTTCAGAATCTGAACTGCACCGCACTGACATTCACTTCAGGCTCATCACAGCTAGGCTGAGCTCCCTGCAGGCAATGAATCACCCAGGTACCACACAGCACACCGACTCAGCTTCCTGGCAATGACAGAGGAAGCGCTACAAACCTTTTACCATCACAAACAGTAGAAAGATTATCTTCAGTATCTGAACTGAAAAATCCTGGCTTCAACAGCTACTCTTGGAAAGGTATTTATTTCTCCAAAGAATGTTTAACCCGATTCTCATCTTCACTACACAGGAAAAAAGGAATAATAATAAAAAAAAAAGTGACACAAAGGAATGAAAATGACTTCTGCAAATGAGGAGACAGCACCTGTGAGAAGTAAGGGCAGGGCTGGACTTAAACTCAAATAGGTGACAAAGCAAAGCAGAATGGAGAACGTGTGGGAAGATCAGCCTGTACTAAAGATGTGCTGGGGAAAAAGGTTCTTGTACTTCCACAAGTGTCAGCAAACAGATGAAGAAAAAGAGCAGTCCTGCTTCCTTATAAAACTCAAATTGTTTGAATCTAATTCAGCCTCCCCATCACCCTGCCTCCAGCCTGTCCCTTCTGCAGCGGTGGTCAGCACCTCACTCTTCCCACCACAACGTACAGAGCTATTAATTCTGTTGAGACAGGTTAGAGTTAAGCAACAACTCAAAACTACATTCTTTTAGTCAGTCTCACATACAGACTTTAGAGTACTGCCACTTGTTAAAGTTCAAACAGCAGATTTTAACATATGAACATATGCACAGCATGTGAAGCTACAGCAAACTGTAAAGCACAAATCCCACTTTCAAGTTATTTTCCCATAGCTTCATAATTTAAAGCCAAATTCCCCTTAAAGGCCAAGCTTAGGTGGTTTAACAAGTTTTGCCTGTATTGGGATAAACTAATTAACACATTAAGGCAATACAGCATCCCTCAAATAATTTTGGCAGTGTCTATGCTACAAAATTCACATGATCATGACTCAGCTGCAGCTGAAATGTAAATGGTTCAATACACAGAAGCAATCTTTGTTTGTTTTGCCTTTGCATAGTACTGAAATGATCCTCAAACTTCTACAGTGTGTCTTCCAAAACAGACCTCTGCGGATCCACTGACTGAATCTCTTCTCTTCAAAACACCTTTTTTGCTTCCACTTACCCGGTTTATTCAATGAAAAGAGAAACTAACAGGAAAAGAGCAGTCTCAGTTGCTGCTGCACAGAGACCACACTCAGCTGAGGTGGCTCCCAGTTTGAGAGCTAAATCACAGGCTCCTTCACAAGGCAAACAAAAATAACCCCAGCCTGGAATGAACTGTTAGAGCTCCCAAAGTGCAGGACAAGCTTACACCAAAGAATGGAATAAAGAGGACAGATGCTCTCTGAACTACAACAGAGCTGTCAGGTAGCTTCACATCTGCAAGTCTTCTCAGGTCTCACCCTCGTTTTCCCCCTTCCCCAGGTGTTACATGGTAGAAACAGCAGAGCAATGTTTCAGGACACCAACTCCAAGTCAACAGCAGCTGAGTTAGCGTGGACTGGGTGCAATTTGCACTCACTCCCTCACTGGGCTGAGCTATCAGCTGCCTAAATTAACACTTTATATCACACAGAATCACAGAATCGCTCGGTTGGAAAAGACCTCTGAGATCATCATGTCCAACCGTTCCTGTCTACCCCCTAAACCATATCCTTAAGTACCTCATCTACCCGCTCTTTAAATACATCCAGGGATGGTGACTCCACCACCTCCCTGGGCAGCCTGTTCCAGCCTCTGACGACCCTCTCAGTAAAGAACTTCCTCCTTATCTCTAACCTGAACCTCCCTTGGCACAGCTTGGTGCCGTTTCCCCTTGTTCTATCCCCCATCACCTGGGAGAAGAGACCAGCACCCACCTCTCTACAACCTCCCTTTAGGTAGTTGTAGGTGGTGATGAGGTCTCCCCTCAGCCTTCTCTTCTCCAGGCTAAACAAGCCCAGTTCCCTCAGCCGCTCCTCATAAGGCCTGTTCTCCAGACCCCTCACCATCCTTGTGGCTCTTCTCTGAACACGCTCCAGAATCTCAACATCTTTCTTATAGTGAAGGGCTCAGAACTGAACACAGTACTCGAGGTGCGGCCTCACCAGTGCCAAGTACAGGGGGATAATCACCTCCCTGGACCTGCTGGTCACACTGTTTATAATACAGGCCAAGATGCCGTTGGCTCTTCTGGCCACGTGGGCACGTGCTGGCTCATGTATATCCTGACTAAATGTGTATATTTGCACTAAAACAATCTCCACAAGAACCTCCTTGCAGAAATGCAAGGCCGTTCTAGAAACACTCAGGGTTACCCGATTCTGTAGTTTTAGACTGAACTGCATGCTTAGGCAATGGACTTGATCAAAACTCAACTCTTGCCTACATTTTGCAGCTCTCATCTTCTACCATTTATCCCATCAGTCAATAGTGATTATACTCCCAGCACTGCACAGTCAGCATCAGGGATTACGGCAGGTAGGGGACAGGCATTACCAAACCACTCATAAAGGGGCCACAACCTCCCTCTCTGCCACCTTCACTCACCCTTCCCAGGTTGCATTGAATCAGCAAAGTTTCACACGCCCATAACCTCATTTCACCAAACTCTTCTGACTCCTAGCCCGGTTTTGGGATAATCCTAAGTAAATTTGCAGACTTTTCCACTACGGCAATCACAACACCTACGTTAACTGTAAGCCAGGAAGCACGAATTTTGGGTGTTTTTAGTCCTCTTTCTAGACAGATTACCAACCTAAAATAGTTATAGGTTGGCTTAGTCTCTCCATTTCTTTTATCCAACAAGGCCACAAATTCAAGTCTAGATGTCTTCTGGCTGCCTTGGGAACAATACCTGTGCTTTAATATGCAGGATATCTTTTGCTATATTTAAACTTTAGCTGACAAAGATGGAATGTGGTTTCATCGAATTACTATTATTGTGTTAGCAGCTTACAAAGCTGCTGCCCAGAGCCACAGAAAGCTGCTATCACATATTTCTATCCCTATGTGGTTTCTTTAGACTTAATGGATGTTTTCTACAGAATTTAAGTGCAATCAACATGACTTTGTCAAAGGAAAGAAAAAAAATAGAGACATTGTTTGTTTTCTGTCAGAATGCACAGAACTCCATTTTACTGCCATTCTTTACCTTATATTTACCTTGAATCCACCAAGCTTACATTAACACCAATTACTTAATCTGGATCTGCACAGGAGGAAATAACTCCCATATCCTCTGTACGTAAGCTAATCAAAAAGTTGCTCATTCTGCATACTGCACTGCCACCATCTCACAACTACACTGCCATTTCCCAAGTCATGTTTTTCTTGTCCCAGAGAGCTCTTCCTGTTGACACCTGCTGGGGAAATACACCCAGCTCTTACTGTGACACTCAGTAAGGATTAGACTCTGTTTTCTCTGTCTGTCTCACTGAACTCAGCAACTTCTCACAAGTAACTGGCACAAAAATATGTTCTTCTTCTGAGCTCCACTGCTTCAATTATGTTTCTACTAATTCCTCCACTACAGGCGAATTATACTTCCATACCCTTTGGCTAGCAGAAACTATGACAGAAATGCTGCAAAATTAACCCCTTTTCATTAGAATCTCACCTCAAAAAGAGAGAACTTAAAACAACAAGAACTTAACTGTCCAAAAAATTAACTGCAACAGTTCTGCCTCCTTAAAGACATGACTTAATGCAGATGTAATTTTCCACAGAAAATTGCCTTTTTCTTCTCCTCTTAAAGAAAAAACAAAACAAAACCTAACACACATATCTAGAATTCAAAGTTGCTGAGTCCTTCCCACCCTCTTCTGAAAGCAATCCTGAACAAGGTGAATAATATAAACTCGTATTTACACCTCTCAGGCTGTGGAAAGTGAGCTAGCAGTTTATCAAGGTGACAAATGCTTAAATATGTAATATGTTAGCAACAGATACAAAAGGCTGAATTGGAAGACACACTGTAAAAAACCCCTATGACTACCAATAGCTTCTGACCTATTCCCTCCTCTTCCCTTTTTAAATTCTTCCATTTGTCCCCCAACTATGCTTCAGATACCACTGTCCCATGCCATAATTCTACCATTGGATCTATTAATTGCTGTTTCACATGAAATAAAAAATTTAGCTGAGGGAGACATGCAAGCCAAATAGTAAAGGACGATTGCCTCATCATCCTTAGAGAAAGCACTGCATCACACACCAACTCGACAGCAATTTCTGCACTACCTCATCTATGGCTGTAAGGTCTTATGGCAAGCTTCAGATGAAAAGCCATGCTCAGTCCTGTGCATACCTTACTACCCAGAATTATGAAATGGTATGGGAAGTTTATAGAGAAAATTCACTGCTTACAAAAATGTACTTTTTGTACTTGTCTGCACTAAAGCAATAAGCTCAGAGTCACACTGAGGATGTGGCCTTGGCTTGTGAATGAATACAGGAAAAACAAGGCAATTTAATCAGAAGCCAGCACATGGAAACCTTGCAGCGAAATAGGACAGCAGGAAAAGGCAGAAATTTAACATTTTTAAATAAGTAAAGAAGAAAACCCAACAACAACAAAGACTTAAGAGAAAAAAGTAAAGCTTTTACTCACAAAGTCATCTTCTCCTTCATTTAAGTTGTAGTTAGGCAACATAGCTCCTTCCATTGCAGAACTCTTGAATACACCTTTTATTTTGTTGCCTATTTTGCTGATTCCAAAGGATTCTCCTCTCTTCTGCGTGGTCCTAGGAGTACAGAAGCCAGAGTTCACAACACAAGGCATGTTATCACACAGCAGCTCAGCAGGCCATTGCACATCACTTGCAGATAAAAGAAACAACTCTAGAAACAAGTAGCCAATATATTTACAATTCCACTTAAATTGAAATTAATTTCTGCCAACTTTGTTCTCTGATCAATCAGCAAAATTTCTCCAGTTTCACTTATTAAGAGACAGGAGATTCCCATATGCTTAACCATGAACAGACAATAACGCTCTTATAATGTATCCCAGTAGTGCAGGACATAGAATAAACAATTAACTATGCAAAACTGTTTTGTTTTGACAGCAGAAGCTGCCTGATCGCTACAGGCACGCACTCCAAGGAGGTCACTGACATCGTCCTTTTCCATGTACTCATATTTAAATATTTATTCACTCTTGCCAAGAACTGCAAATGGTGTAATTAGATGCACTTATTTTTACATAAACATCTCAGAATTTTACAAGCATGTATGATTCAGGATAGATCTCAAATTTTAAGCATTAGGGACAGACAAAAGGAATGTGCAAGGCGCAAGACTGAGCATGAGAGAAAACAGATGCAACTGAAGAATCTTGGCTTGAAGAGCCAGCCTGACTGAAAGATGAAGAGTTTTTAGAGTCTTGCCACTTAGGACATACAAAAAGCAGGAAGATATGGAAACAGAAGGATAATTGGTCAGGAAGCACACTCCTTACTGAGAGATCACATTTTACAGCATTCTTGTGCCTTTACACAAGACCTGACACCAAAGATTATTTTTTACACAGAAATGCTTGTAATTCTGGAAAGAAAAATGTTTCTGTTGAATATGGAAACAGCCTAAGGTTACTTACGGTCATTCAATAAATAGAGTTGATAGGTGAGTTAAAAATTATTACAGTGAACTGCAGAATCAAAGACTCAAGAGAACATCAAAGATTATTGAGATTAAAAGCACAATTAGTACTTTAAAGGATGAAAAATGCCCTGTTTCTTTTTCCTTTAAAACAAAAAAATTATTAACTCCTAAACAGTAGTACCAAGAGACCAGCAGAGACCAGCAGGAAAAGCATCTTCATTGTCCATAAAACCACGCTGACAACATCAACTGCTGACTTTAAACATGCATGCGTGTGTTACTAATGCTCTTCCTGTTTATAATTTTACCCAGACTGTGTACATGACTAAACTTGTGTAAATAACCCACTGTTTTCCAAATCTTTTGCTTATTCTATCTCATATTATTATCAGCTCCAAAGCAGACAGGCATCATCTATCTTACTTATCTCTAACCAAAGATAAGGTTGCTTGGCTGTTTGTACTCTAAATCCAAGCTTGAACAATTCAACTGATTTTAATCAACTTATTCTATATGTTGTTGTGCTGAACTGCACTTTTCCACATTGGGGACCTACCTGAATATTTTCAAGAGCTTAATCACTGGCCTATCAAAGTATAAATCTTATTCGGGCAAAACCAGGCAGCTTTTCTAAAGGGTGATACTTCAGACCTCTGGCTTGACTCTTGAAGAAGTTTTCATCATTCCTGTGAAAACTTGTGCAAATCTCAAGATTCTGAACAAAAACATTAATTCACTCAAGCTGAGAGATTTGATAAGAGCACTCCAGGCTCACACCAGTTCTTTCCCCCCAGTGATCATGCTCCAGCTGAAGGCAAAATAAAGCTTTGCCCGTAACTGCAGGACTGAGCTGTATGGGGCCAGGACTCAACCTGATAGTAAGGAACCACCCCTTTCTGCCCCAATTCTGAGCCCAGAGAACACACCTCATCAGTGCAGAGCAATCACTAAACTGGAATGTGGGTATAAAGTGACAAATTAGGATGGGATCTCTTGGCAGGAGGATACACAAATTCAGAACAAAGAGTGGTGAATAAGAGGGCACATGGGACACGGCGGACAACACCTGGAGAGAACATAGGACTGGTTTGGCAAAAATCCTCAAGCAAGCACACAGAGCACAAACCAGATCAGATGAGTGTGGAAAGATTTGGGGATGTTAGCAGACAGACAGATAACAGGACGACCAAACTTTTGAGGATGCTGAGCAAGGAAAATAAAATAAATCAAAAAAAACCCCACACAGGTATCAGGGTGAAAATTTAATAGATTCACTGGTTAGGTAGAAACAGGAGAAAGAACTTAAGGTTAGGTGGAAGGGAAGAGATGGGACTAGGATATGGTCAGGTTCAAGGCATGGGGGAAGAAAGGAGAGGAGGTGGCCGTTTCAGAATAGAGACCAAGTCTTTATAGAAACCCGTCAACAAATATATATACACAACTCATTGGGAAAAGTATCCCACTCCCTCTAGTGCTGATCCACGTAATAACAATGTTAGACCATCAATCAGTTGCTCTCTTGGCAGGGCCTTGAGCATCGAGTCCACAGGTTCCAACATTTCTGATGAATTATGTGAAAACAGGAGGTTGAAACACATTTTTCTTTTTCTGTTTTTCTGGGTAGGTTTTTTTTTTGTTTGGATTTTTTTTTTAAGTTCCAGAAGTCCCACATGCGTAACATTCAAAAAATGACAATTTTTATTCACTCTGTAGCCGGCAATTGCAGACCAAAGGTTACATTAGTGCCGTGGTGCGCGGTGACATTCTTTAATCGTGGATGCTTGCAAAATACTCTTCCCATAGGACCTCTGCCCCATTCTGCCCACTGCACAGATCTTCACAAGCAATCGGCCAGGGCAATGCAGCTGAAGATGCTATTGCCAACCTCTGCGGGTCAAGAGGTGCCAGACAAGTCGTAGGAATCAGACAAGCCAGATATTTACATGCATGTGAAGTCAGAGTACCATTTTCTTTTGGCTGACTAAAACCCCTACACCCAATTAGCAGAAATGCTGAGCACACAGAGCTGCACTTAAAAATCAATGAACTGCACTTATACCTCAAGTATTTCTTATTGCTCAATGTTCTAGCAAGTTATAACTCAAGACACTGAACCGGCAAATAAAAGATAAAAAGTGTCTGCATATCTTGATTCCTAATCTGTTAAATGAAGTTGATAATGCTCCCTCAAGACTCAAAAATGTTATGAGTAATATATGAAATACTGATGTTCTGACAGATTCTGAGGAAAAGCCCATAATGAAAAAAATGCTTTCTGAGTTTGGATAGCATGTATTTGAAAAGGCACGAATAATGAGAAAACAAACCACTGAACAGCTATTAAGGCCTTCATGAGTGACCACTGACTACCTAGAGCAAATTACAGAAAACAGCTTATGTTGTAATCAAACCTATGACACCACAAGAAAAGCTGCAGAGAGAAGTAATTTGGGGAACTGCCTGTTTGAGTGCTTGATAATATTCATTTAATGGTTATATTTGCATACAGTGTTAGGCAGTGATCATCCTGCACACAGCTGTGCAAGATAAAACAAGTAGGTAAGTGGATAAAACCTGAAACAGCATCTGGAAATGTGACATGGAGTAAAGGAAAATTTGGAGCAGCTTGCAGTCACAGACAAAAAAAAAGCTTCAAGTTATGCAAATATACTTCAAAATGAGTAACAACAGACAAATTGTTGACAGCAAACAATATTAATACATTGCAAACCTGTGAAATTAGTAATTAAGCCATTTCTAAACACTTGTGAAGCGGACAGGAGGAGAAAAGCTTACAGCAGGGAGAACCACAGTTCAGTCCAGAGAAGACATTCACAATTTTACAAATAAAATGGGCAGTTAACTACTGTTATAAAGGCTGTGTGATGCAGTCATGATAGATGCAGCGTAACTGACACACAACATTTATCGAGTGTTAGACAGACTTACCGGAAGTCATCCAAACTCAGGCTACTTCTGTAACAACAGGCACATAAGTTACCTCAAAGCCCAGGAGAAAGTCATGATAAAAGAAAAAAAAAGCAAACAGCCCACACCCAAATTTGATAGACCTATCCCAACAAAACTGTAGAGGCTTCGATCACCATTACAATTTAATTAAAAAAAAGGTGGTACAATTAGGAGCTCCTGACCTAAAATCCTAAGAACGTGAAATGCGAACAGTACCTCCACATTTCATCACCACCATCTTGGCCTTTGAATTTAAAACCTCGGTTACTGAAACTTTCAGGTCTTCACTGGCATTCAGCACAAGCTGCTACCAATTCATAGAGAATGACCTTCATTCACAAAGTCACCTGTAGGGCCGAACTTTTCCTATAACCTACGTTCAGAAGTCATGCAGGAATCTAGTTCCTTTGACCAATAGAAAGAAAAGGCTGTGGATTTATTTTATGTAATAACAGCATCCCCTATAAGATACAGTAAAAACCACTATTAAAATAGTTTGATTTTTTTAATTTCACAGGTTTTAAGAACTGTCATGTATTTTTGACATTCTACACAACCTGATACATGAAACCAATGGCTCAGCCATCAACTCAGCAATTCCACCCAAGATGTTTAAATGGATTAACCACAAACACAGTCACCACACATGTTATTTTAATTCATTGGAGCTACTGAATGCTGGACAAACTGATATGGGATTAAAATATTCAAATTTCAGATTTTGTTTTAGACGAAGCACTGATTCTAAGGCATCTTATACTTTCTTTAGTCATATTACTTGTGAAGCTGGAAACATAACCTACCAAGTTGTGATTGATGGTGACAATCAGTTAGACTGCACACAACTGTTTACAAAATTAATTCTGTGGGTTTTACTTCTAACCACTCCCCTAAATTGTTAATATCTTTTCTACTCTGTCCTTTACTTGAAAAATGTTTTCATTTTATTGCTATCCCAATTGTGACAAATCAGGTGCACCTATTTCTATATGTGGTCATGGTGTGTAGAAAATCAAGACAGATATGCAGCTATCCAGAAATCTGGGAGTTTACATCACAAAATGGCTTTTTTTTTTGGTTAGACTTCCAACAGAGAGTGCCTTTAAGTAAGGTAGTGATGTATTATAAATACACAGATGTGAGAGAGGGAATTCTTGTTCAGTTTTTGACAGGTCGGAAGTTAAGTTGCCAGAATTGGAACTTAAAACATCAGTTTTCACTGGCCACACATTAAACATTAGGTGGAAAACAACCATTATAGAGTTAAACTGCTGACAAGCACAGCTAGTTGTCAAGTTATCGGAATATCCTCAATGTGACTTCTTTACACTCCAGAAATACTTGGGATTTCTCATCTACTACCTTAGTGGTTTTCATAGCACAATATTTGTCCTATCTGTACACAAAGAGCTATGATTATTTCGTACAGCTCAAAGTCATAATCCAAAACAGAAATTACACGCTGGTTGTCACTTCTTCCTACTTTCTCACTTTTGTTTTCTAGAAGCTGCTCTATAATTTTTCTCTCTTACAATAAATGAAATCTTCCAACACATTACCCACTTGTACATTCCCCTGGGATTTCGTATCTCCTACTTGATCTTATTTTTTAACCAGCGGTATCTATGCAATACACACAAATACCCCTAGGCAAAGCACCGAAGACAGGGAAAACAAAACTCATTTCTTTGCACATAACTTCCCTCAACTGGAAATAATGCTAGAAGAGGGAAGAGAAGGCAGGACAAGGTATGTGCATATGGATAACATCTGGAATCATGCCATATGCAACTTACCTTTTTCTGCCCCATGGCAGTGACTGTCTGTACCAGATTCTGCAGAGGGAAACTCCAAAGCAACAGGCAAACTAATTAAAAGATAACACCTCTGTTTCATAGAAACACACTGAGGTACCCCTCCAGGAACACACAGTATCTTGTATGACAAACCAGCGTATATACTCAGGGCACTGAAATCGGTCTAAAAGTGTAAGAGATACATTTCCAGTAACACTATAGATGCTGTTTGAACTCCAGGGGAATACGTTGTAACAGTCCCCAAAGTTTGCTTATTTTGTAACCAGCGATGTGTTTCAATATCTCCATTTAGAGATTGCCTATAATTTCACCTTTTCTGTTCTGTAAAGCGAAGAACCAAGGAGGTGACCTAAACGTTTTCAAACTTAAACTAGATTTAAGAAATGTATGACAGGATACTTGCAACTCTTGACATGGATAATTTGGGGAAATTTCTTTGCTAAGAAACAGAGGCTTGTCAGCACCAATCTGAGAAAGCACTATGTCAAAGCCCGAGTCCTGCATCTACAAGAACTGTAAGACTACATAACAGATACCACCAATGGAGATACATTAAAGAGAACGATCAGGTAGGTTTTGAAGAACATTGGCAGGGGAGTAGGGGATCCCACAGTAATACACCTCATAGTAGGCTGCAAATCAAGGGGATTGCTGCTAGGTGTATCTCTAATGAACACAGAAGAAGTTAACTAAATAGCTGTTACTCCTCTAGAACAGTAATCTAAGATAAAACACTAGCATTCTCTACAGTACTGTGGCTCTCATTTCATACCAAGAAACCAAGCCTATCCAAATTAAAGCCTGTCTCACTGAAGTTTTCCTTCTTTTGGCTAAATCACAAGAGCAATTTGGCTGGACTAATCTATCACTGAGCCATTCAGCATACAACAAAAGACAAGAAATGAGACCTCAAGCTTACTCAGCCCATCCCCACAGTGGAAGATCGCCCATCCATACACAGGAAATGCTCCTCCTCTCCACAGGCCAAGGAGCCTGAAGGTGGTCTGTACGTATACAGCCCAAACCCAGAAACAAAGCTTCTGACACCACATTTCTGCAATGAATGGGGAGAGCTGGAGAACTGAAAACACATTTGACTGAGAAGAAATGGCAAATCCTCCTTGTCACAACAAAAGGAGATCCCCAAGTTGGCTGATCACAGGGTACACTATACCTATGCCTGTAAGACCTGAAATCCAAGAAGACCCAGCTTGGCACCAACAAAATAGTATTCATATATAGTCAATTAAATCATCATTTTATTTCCATGTTATCTTATTCTCACTGTGAATTGATTTTTCCCTTCCCTCTTCTCAAATGTTGAAGTGTAGATCACATGTTAAATTCTTTAATGTAAAACACTCAAAGTGAAGAGACATCTTGTATATTTGCTTGCCCCCTCAGTATGTAATCTGTCCATTTAAAAAAGAAAGTAGAGCTAAAAATTCAGTCAGATTACTATCAGGCAGCATAAATATTCCTATGGTTTAATATTTTGATGCCTTTAATTAAAAAAGCAAAGAAAAACACTTATTCTACCATACTTACCGGTTAAACTTTGAATTGCGCGTTGGTGACTCTGCTCCTCTTAAAAGGTGCCTGAAGTACTACAACAAACAAATAAGGTATCAGAGAAAACACTGGCTTAACTGAGATAGGGGCTACTATGCACCGACATCGCAGAATTCAGGAAACAAGAACAGGAGTAAAAGGCGAGCTACCCATAACTTAGCAGCTAGAGCATTCGTTTGGAAAAGGACAGCACAAGTCTGGAATACATGCTCCCAGGAGTTCTTATTTTACCTCACAGAATCTTGGGATTAAAAAGAAAAACAAAAAGAGAACTGAAATTAAAATTTAGCCCCAAAATCCATGTCTCTTCTTTCTTAAAAATCAATCAATGCTTAATTAAAGCATTATAGCAACTATGGGAAAGATGACCATTAACACAATTTTTAAGAAATTACTTTATTAAGAATAATGCCAAGTAAGGCGAGTACCCAGACACCTGACCTTTTGGTGGTGTAATGCATAATGCTGAAGATACCCAAATAAAACCTTTGTATCTTTCTTTAAGTACCATTATATTCCAAAAAGTAAATAAAGAGATTCTTAGAAGCGTTCTATGTCTATCACACAGAGTACTTTTGCACCAAACTTGCAATCATAAAAGAAGGGCTGGAGAAGACTTTGTAACAGCAGTGGCATACACAAATTGCTACATTTTTCATCTGTTGACGTTGTGTTGAACTAGAATAAATTCAATTCTTTTACTGCAATTGGTTCCAGCTCTGGAACAATAACTATAGTGGAAAATTGAGACATTTTTCAGTTTCACATGTACGTCACTGCTGTAAATAGGGTATCCTAAAAAAATTATATAATCTTGCTTAAAGACTACTCTTCAGATCTGTCACACTTACCTCATCACTGTGACAGAACATTGGAGTAAAAACGTTCTCGAGCAGAGAAAGTACGTGCTCGTAAGCCTCAAAAAGACACCGCATAGTCTGAAGTTTCACAACATCCTCATATGTACCTTCAGCAACTATAAAAAAATGCAAATGTAAATAGAGATATACATGGGCATATAAAGTTTGGTTTTTTCCTGGTCCGACTTTGTGATTGCTTTGAAAGCCACTATAAGTCTGACATAAAAAAGATAAATAAACTGAGAAGGTTTAAACACAATATGGCAAGGGGGTAACAATTTTTAAAACTATGATGAAATTAGAGTGATCATTTTTGGATTAATTAGCCTTTACTTCATTACAGAATGCTGTTTAAATTCCAGTGTAAATTATTCCTTTCAAATGCAAACTTACTTCTTTGGATCTCTTCCACAATAAAAGGGTCAAATCTAATTTTGTCAATGCTTTCATCCAGGCAGTAAGTTTTGTAAATTTTCTGTACTTCCTCATGAAGAGACATCTTTTCGGTATCTGATAGTTCTGGTCGCAAAATTCGGTCATTGAATTCCTCTGAAAGTAAAGGACAAAAAAATGCACCTGTTGATTCACTTGGCTAACAAACAGCATCTCAAAGCAACTTAACATAAATTAATTTTGCAGCAGATACAGTAACCTGTAAAACTTGAACGCTATTAGAAACAGAAGAAGTATCAAAATCTCAGGTAATAACATAGCTGTCTACTTATTAATTATAATTCTTATTTGTTCATTAAATTATTACTGAAAATACATTGCAATTAAGCCAAATTATTCCTTATCACTGTAAGGATAAATCCATTAATTTGCTCCTGGTGGAAGAATGAATCAGTCAATGAACTTTTTCTTCCAAAATTACCAAATTGTAAGTTGTAGTTTTCTTTTAGCATGATTTCCAGTTCATGCTGGACACTCACAGAGGTCCAACAGCCCTTTACACCTGCCATCTGCCTATTCTGCTAGTTAATTCCTAAGACCCAACCCATCATATTTTCAATAATATCTTTAATATCAGACTAACTTAAGAATGAATTTCCCCTGACAAAATAAAACTTCTATTCAGCACAATTATTGTACAATCCTATTTGATTTATCGGTCCATCTCACTACTACATGACTACTAGTCGGAAATAAGGGAAAATAAAGTAACGTTTTATCCATTTTTCAATTAATAGACAAAAACCAACTTCTTCAGAGAACACTTACCAAGACCCTTCTGGAGTTTTAAAAATTTAGTAAGTGCTTCTTATCCAAAATATTTCTATCAGGTGAAGAACCACTTACAGTAGACAGCTTGGGACAGCATACCTTGAGAGACCTATGACTCATTCTTTGTTTTATAACCTAATATACAGACTTGCCACCTATCAGAATGCAAGAGAAGTTTAGAAGAAAGAGTTTTTCGGACAAAAAGCCAACGTGTTTGGAAGGATTATGAGCACATAAGAAGCTGCAAGCACAGAAATTGTTTATATTTCTCTTATGTAATGATTAATGATGCCTGCAGTATTTGATGAGATAAAGCCCAAGTTAATTCCACATCTTCCTGGTGTATGTATGGGCTTGGGATATGAAAATCAACCCACTATTTCCTAGGCAACATAGAAATACTTGTTTACTAAAAACCCAAACAAACAAAAAACCAAACAAAACCCACAAAACAAACAAAAACCCAAAAACCAAAACAAAACAATAAACACAAAGAAAGAGAAAACCAAAAAAAACACAACAAAAACCTCACACACGAAAAAACCCCAAAACCCATTTTGTTTGCTTCATGAGAAAGCAGGCAGCTTTTCAAACAACACTTGTGTAATGGTAAAATCAAATGCATGCTTCATAACCAAGGTACATGTCACTGAATAGAAGTTTTCAACCTCTCCCATTTCCTGCTACATTTCTATTCTTCATAGAAATCAAAATTTTACAGCTAAAAGAACATGCTCCACTTTTCATGATGAACAGCTCATTTTAGTAATACTTTAGTAACTACATATTAAAAAAAGGCAGATGGACTTTGTATCAGAGGCCAGAACTTTTTTCTTATAAGAATATTCTATTTTAAAATGTACAATCTTTATCAATAAACAGAAATATAATTAAGACCTACAGTCCATGCCAACATTAACGTTGCCAAGATTAGCATCCAAGAATCAGGACATATTAAAGTAAGTGAACACAGATCCTGAAAGGCAATGTCTTGCTTAGCAATGCTGCTAGTTCCAAGACTTAAATATTCACTTCAAAGTACAAATGCTTAAAGCTTTTAAAGATCACCAAATATTCCTCAAGACACATATGCAATCTTACCTACAGTCAGGCAGAACTGCAGCACATGGACTGCCCCTTCCTGCTTCAGGAAGTTCATAAACCGAAATAATAGGTCTTGCTGGTCCCTGATCTCCTTCAGCTCCAGTTTCAGGACCTTGGTAGGTTAGAAATGCAGTCAGCCAAGTTTCAGTGAGTACATAAATAATACAAGGATTTGCAGAACAAAAACAACAGGTAAAGTAAAAGAGTTATTCAAAACAGGAAAGGAATTAAATGTTTGCTTACAGATGGTTTTTTATTTCTCGGCTCTGCAAATTTCTGAAGGAATGGAACCAATGAAGAAGTAGGTTCAGTTGCTTTCTCAGGCTGTAAAAAAAAGTGACAAGAGACAATTGAGTAAGAAAGCTCCCCTAATGGGTGAACTAATTACTGCTGTTTTAACTTTGTCAGTACTCACCGGACTATCGTCAATGAAGATCAGCAGCAAATGGTTGACAGTGTCCTGCGGGAAAACACAATACGAAATTACTACTAAAGAAACTCAACAAATTAGATTAAAATCATTTCACTACTGTTATGCCCAAGTTTAAACCTGTGAATATATTCATACTTTAAAAAAAAACCCAAAGCCTGGCAATGTATGTTTGAGAATTAACCTTCAATGGTCTCTTCCAGCATTTACAAGTCCGGGAATTTCTGAGGAGACCTTTACCTGGTGGAGGAGTATTTTTACTGTTAGTGCAGATCTAATGAACTACCAACACTTCCACAGCTAAAATACTTTCTGCTTGCAGCCAGGTTTTGCCTTCACAATAATTGCTATTTTGCCTATTAAAATACACACCTACATAAAATCAAAGATGGCAGTGTTCCATCTTTAGAAATAGTTCTGCAAATAAGAGGGCATTTAAGGACAAAATAATTAAGTACAGCTGCAAAAAGGGCTGGTTTAGTTACACTGCTGTAAAGATACATACAGCTAGAGTTCAAGTAATTGAGCTCTTGTTTAAATGTAGTTACAGCAATTTGAAGGTGCTTATACTAGCACAGCATTCTCCCATTTGACAGGAACTGAAGTCCTTCATTAAAAATACATTGTTAAGAGATCACTGTAATTTAGTCAGTTCAGTCAGTTAAACACTCCAATCAGTTATAATGAACAAACAAACAAAAACACTGGCCACAAGATTTCTTCTTCTTTTACTCAGTCAAAATGCACAGCAAGTAAGTTATTGTGCATCATGTGTTTTACCACAACATACTTAGTAGAAAAACAGTAATAGTGAATAGATTAAGATTATTCCTGAGCTCCAAAGCCTTACAGGATCAGCCAAGAAATCCATTGAGGGAAGGAAAACAGAACCAGGCAGAATCTCTCGTATCAGAAGAGCCAAGGATCTGAAACAAAAAACAAAACAAAAAATCAGAACCAATACTAGACTACATTCTTTTCTAAGTGAAGTTTCCAATGCCATTATATTTTACTGGGAAATATTTTAGTATTTAATAATACCTTTAGCATGCTCGAATAGTTTCAAGACCAGTCAAAAAAACTCATAAGCAAAGGGATACGATGGAGGGATGAGGAGGATGAGAATGAAGTTCATTCTTTCACTCCCCAAAATTATTGTACTACAGAGAATGCTGGTACTTTAAAGAATACAGTACTAAGTAACTTCTATACCTGCATTCTGTTGACTTTGGAGGCAAAATATAAGGAAAAAGAAGTTCAGTAAGTTTTCTTAAGTAGTGAAGTTCATCTCTTCGGCTTCTCAAAGCAACATGGAGCTCTGGTCCGTATTCTTCTAAAGCAGCTTGCTGTAAAAACTCTGCATTTTTTACTGCAAGTAAAAACCAGTATTATGAGTTGTTTCAGCTTTTCCTTATTGTGAAATAAGAGGTAATTCCTGTTCATTTGAGCTAAAATGTTAATACTTTTAGTACATATACAACTGCCAAAGGGACACAATGTTGAAACTCTACAAAAGAGCCTCGGCTTTGACTTTGAAGCCTGGCTGTGTAAAAATAAAACCTCACATTGAAATAAGAATTCTTCCACTAAACAATCACAGTTTGCATGGTTTCCAGAATGTTTTCTTATTTTTAATTATTGAAGAACTCAACATCTTGATTCTTCTTAAAACCGAATTGCCCAAAGTAAGCCTGTACTTGCTGTTTTCCTGACCTTCACAGTTTCCCATTTATTTGACTTCTACCTATTGACTTGCCTACACACAATTTGAAATCAACGTAAACTTAAACTTTTATTCAATTCTGTTGTAGCTGTTTCCTGCTTAGAAAATTTAAAAACAAATGTGAAGGAACATATATTTTAAATGCAGCATAAATCAAACCAAAACCAGCATGGGGATCTGCAAGAGCGCTGCCTCTTATAAGGAGCTGGACGGAGTTGAAAGAATACCCACTTTATCAGATTAAAAAACATACATATTAATTAGAAGTAACAATGTTATATTCCTTCTAATCACTTCAAAGGCAAAAACTGAGCTGTAGTAAATCCGACACAGCCTCATGCCAAGAACCACTCGGGCACAGGGCAGGTACCTAATACATACCTGCTGTCTAGAAGGTTACAGCTCGTTTCCAGCACACTGAATTTAGGACAGAAGCCTGTTAGCTCACCCTTCACAGCCAAGAACCACAAGTGGTACCAGCTGACATGGAGGATGCAGGAATACGCCTGAAAAACCTGCCTACTCGGTGTCACTAACAGCAGAGAGAAGGAATGCACTCTCTGGCAAGGACACACATGGCAGTGTCTGTGTAAATAGGAATTACCAAGAGACGTAAGGCTAAGACAAGTAGGAAAAAAGGGAGTGACCCATAAAGTAATCAACTGAATAAAGGATTTAGAAAATAAACAAGCAGAAAAAGCTAGGCTCAACTAGCAACTAAAGCAAGACCTGAAAGCTGCCTCCGAATCACGTATTACAGTGGCCAATTTAGCAGCAGTTACTAGAAAGCACTGCTAAAAGTCATTTTCAGCTGCTACTTCACACATTTGTCCTCATGGAATGAGTCTTTCCCTTTAAAAGACTGAAGAAAATGGCTGCATTTTCAATGCTGCACATTTAAAATGCAGTTATTTGCTGCTAGAGAAAAGTGTTTCTGACTCCCTAGTAGAAATCAAAGGAAATATGAAATTATGTATAAATACATACAGTGCAAGTGCAAGATAATCTAGTAATATCTTGAAATTGCTGTTGTCCCATGAAAAACATCTAACATGACCACACATCTTATTATTCATCTTATTCATTACCCACTATTCACAGGACCAATGGCATATATTTCTTGATAGCAAGCAGACATTTGGAGGGAAGGGAGGAAGGTTCATGACTCCAGTGGAAGTAACCATCTGTGCTTGAAAGTTGAATGAAATCACATTTACTACATGCAACATTGTGGAACACAGCCAGTGGGAAAAAAAAGCCTATTTTCCAACAGCAAGTGTTCTATTTTTCAAATATTCTTTCAATGTGCAGCTTTAATATAAATTTTACGTTGGGCTTGTGAAGATATTTTTATTTGGGTAATAATTAAATATGCTTATAAACATAAACCTAACTTTTCAACATACTGAACAACTCCTGTAACTGCTCGATGTCAGTGTGCAGATGTGACATCATCCCAGCTATAAGAGTCACAGCTACAACAGAGTGCATGGACATGCAAATCCTCATTCGTAATTGCTCATCTGGAATATACAGGAAAAACTTCAAGAAGCATTGCTAAGTGATCTTGATTGCTCTGAATAGACAAAAAACACACTCCTGTTTACCATACAGAGAAATTCAGTACTTTTATTGTGGGGAAATGAATATCAAAACTGAGAGGTTATTTGTACTATAAGTTTTTCTCTATTTGTCATTGCAACCTTCAGAAGAAAAATGCAAAAGGATCTCTTGTTTTTTTAAAGAGAAGGCAGTGAGGATGAAAAGATTTAGCAAATATAACAAACATACAAAAAGAAACATTTATACTTGGCCTTAGAAACTAGCAACATATCAAGTCCTTACCTTTCTGCCTGGCCTTGGCTATCACCTCGATGTGTTTCATTGCTGCCTTGAGCATTTTCTTCGTTACAACAGTTGGAATATCAACCTAAATAGTTTTAAAATAAAAACAGAATTAGTCTAGTTTTTTCCCCCACATTTATTCCAGACAAGAACTATCAGACATATTAATTTGCTTAAATGTCTCCATTCTGACCATAAAATGAACCCTTAAGAAACAAGCCATGAAATCCCTAGGTGAACTGAGAGTATGCTCATTCTGGGCAAAGCACACAACACTGCATAGAAGTAAACACCACAAACACTGTGAACACATTTACTGTCAAATTGTTCCCATTACGATTCTTCTACTGCAATAATTACAGTGACACCGTTTGATTTCCAAGTCACAGCATAGGACACCAAGTTCTACATGAAGATTTGACCACCAAAAAAAGGAAGTTAACTATGCTTTGATTCTAGCAGCTGTGGGCCTTCACCCTCATCAATCCTGTCCACAAGGACTAAAAGCAAAGCAAAACCCTTCTCTCTACTCAGATGCAGAAAAAATGTTCCACCACAGGTGATGGCAGAGTCCAAAGAAAATTCTGGTTACTGAGTCAAGATGACTGTTAGTGCCAAAAACAGTATCACACGATGCTGCTCGCAGGTCAAACACTCCTGCCCAAATCACCCTGATGGCCCCTTGGTTGAATTTGCTGAGCTCTATCGATGTCTCTTTCATAATGAGGAGCCCCAGACTGGATGCAGTATCCTAGATGTCATCTAAGGAGTACCAAGTAAAGGCAGATAATCACTTCCCTTGATTGATTGGCTCTGCTTTGTTAATACAGCCCAGCCTCTGCTGCCAGCATGCACTGCTGGCTCATACTCAGCCATCTACTATGGGGTCAGGTCCATTGCAGCAGAGCCTCTCTCCACAACCAGTCAGCTACCAGCCTGTAGAGTTTCAAGGGATTCTTCTGCAGTAGTTTCCACAGAAACTTATCTAGAAACTGCTTTACACTTTGCATGTCCTTTATTTTAAGCAAGAGCAGAAAGCATCTCAAAGAAGGAAAGACGCAGCGGCAAATATTCAAAATTGAAGGCTTCTGATCATGGTGGCTTTTTCCCCTAATGGAGTTTGTCCCTTCTCAATAACAAGTCAAATAAAGACCTTTACCACAGAGTCATAGAATGGTTTGGGTTGGAAGGAACCTTAAAGCTCATCCAGTCCAACCCCTGCCATGGGCAGGGACACCTCCCACCAGCCCGGGCTGCCCAAAGCCCCATCCAACCTGGCCTTGAACACTGCCAGGGAGGGGGCATCCACAGCTTCCCTGGGCAACCTGGGCCAGTGTCTCACCACCCTCACAGTCAAGAATTTCTTCCTAATATCCAGTCTAAATCTCCCCTCTTTCAGTTTAAAACCATTCCCCCTCGTTCTATTGCTACCTGCGCTTGTAAAAAGTCCCTCCCCAGCTTTCTTGTAGGACCCCTTCAGGAACTGGAAGGCTGCAATAAGGTCTCCCCGGAGCCTTCTCTTCTCCAGGCTGAACAGCCCCAACTCTCTCAGTCGGTCCTGGTAGGGGAGGTGCTCCAGTCCCTGATTATCTTCATGGCCTCCTCTGGACCCGCTCCAACAGCTCCGTGGCCTTCTTATACTGGGGGCCCCCGAACTGGACCACGTACTCCAGGGGGGAGGTTCTCTTTAATAATAAATCCAAATCAAAGTACAGCTGTTTGGCAAAGCTGTAAGACTATTTTAGTTGATTAATATCTCCTCAAATGAAGTTATAAAGGACACTGTATCAGAGCTGAAAGACTATAAAATGTTCTGTCACAACCCTTTTCAGCAAACTACTGAACTTTTAAACCAGGATTCCTAAAATGACAAAAAGTTCATATTTTATTTGCAACTCGCATATCAACTCAATTCTACGCATAACATTCTCAGCAGTATATGCATGACAGCTACTAGTTCAGGCTGGCTGGATTCGTGTGTGGGTGCACGCACACAAACACTTGCTCAGCAGAAAAAAAGGTATGAGCTGAAAAAAAATAGCATAGCATGAGACACCACGCTCCCCTGCTTGAGATATCTGTACTGCTTCACACAAAGAGGCAAAATAAATTATATTATTCTGTAGGACGGATACAAATAAATTGAAATATTTGTGCAAAAAAAAAATGCACTTCTGCGATGGCCCTAATTTTGTAGCTCCCCTAACAGTGCTTAATACTTGCACTTATCTTGAGTTATTGTAGCACATATTGTCTACCCAGACACATAGAATTGAACATACTACACTTACTTCATTACTGTCAAAGGCAGATATGATAAACTAACATTCTGCTTAAAGATGCTACAGCTGATCTAACATGATTAATAACTTATTAGATGATTAATAGAGGAGACATCACCATTTTCTGAATCAGCAACGGATCTATGAACAATGCATCTAACATCTGCACGTACTACAACTCCAAATTACATTTTAAGACCTTGCTCTGGATTTTCACTTTGAAAGACCTACTTCTCTTTCACACCTCCATATAGCGTCTGAGCTACACAGACATTTCCTAATCTTCCTGCATGTCCACTTAAAGCAACATGTTGAGTAAAGCAACATGTTAAAAAGCAACATGCTTGAGTAAAGAAGAAAGTCATCCAGATTTGATATATAACAAGGACAGAATCAGGCTGTTAATCAGTCATGACAGAGTACATGCACAACTTGTAGCTCAGGAAATATTGCTGTTATTAAGGGAGGGGAAAAAAGACACACGTTTATGGTACTTGCTCCAACAGAGAGGCCAGCACTGAGTAAATCTGGAAACTGAGTTAGCAGCTCTTCCTGCTTAGGATAGCCAGAAATTGAGAACCAGTTCCTGTAAAACAGGCTTGAAGCACTTTACCAGAAAATAGAGTATATGTGCTAATATATTAAACACAGCTAATAAAAAATATTAATTTTTAGTCTTCAGTATGTTTCTTAATAACAACATTAATATAAGAACCATACCTGTTTTAATTCTTACAGTAAGCTGTTCACCTCATGACAGTCTATTCTTTATAGACAACATAAGGATTTTGCCTGCATTTGAAGAGTCAAGCAAGCAGAAGCTATGAGACAGATACACTGCTTACCATTTTCTAATAGTTCTTTTTCAACAATTCTCAAAATTGTTTCCACTTGGATTAAGCCACTAAAAGACAGCTAAACAATCATCTCAAGGTGTTAATAACCCCTTGCACTGGTGTAAAAAACAAACCCATTTGGAAGAGTCACAGAACAGTTTGGGTTGTAAGATCATCTGCTGTTGGGACAGACCTCTTTCACCTGGTCAGGTTGCTCAAAGTCATGTCCAACCAGATGCTCAACACTTCCAATGATGAATCTTCAAGAATGGTTTATAACCAGGAATGAGATAAGCTCAAGAAGGAGGGAACAGATAACCTAAAGCAGAAACTTAGTTGGGAACTGCCTATACTCTCTGTAAGACTGACTTTGGTATCACCATTTTAAAAAAAAAAAAAGAAAGACATCGCTGCAGATGGATCAGTTATTTCTGATGGGAAAAAACCATTAATACCATTAAGTCTTACCTTGTGAATTCTCCGAACTAAAACAGATGCAAAAAACCGCAGCGTGCCTCTCAGTTCATCCACCGAGGATTCGTCGTCAGTAATATTTCTGCAGTGTTGTAAAGCATGCCATGTAAGGAAACAGAATAGAATACATTCACATTAATACAACCAGAATACATTTGGCACTCCTAAAAGGTGGAATAAGAACAGTCAATGGTGACACTTTAACTGGTATTAATTGAAATGAAAGCTAAAAAGCACGGGCAGATTAAGCAGTTTTCTATTCAAGCAAAATACACCACATTCCCACTCTGTTTGTGCACACAATAATGGCTTAAGAAATACATCAGTAATTTGGAATTACACACCAATTCCTGCTCTAATATATTGTCTACATGATTTTGACCAAGTAAAATCTAACATATATGTTTCCACATATGTGAATGTTTCCTAGCTCAGTGGCATGAAGTGAAACTGCATTAGTATCAGCAAAGCCTTTGGAATAAGAGCACTGCAAGCACATACCCCAGTTAAGCTAGTCAAAACTGGATTTTCCATATTGCAGACTACAAGACGATCTATACACCAAGATTTCAAATAATTTTCTTCTGTTTTAATACAAATCTGTCTCTGCTAACCTCTTTTGTTTAAGTTTTATTACAAAATGGGCAGCTTCTCATGTAGCTTTTAATGAAATAGGTACATCCCTTGTATTACATCACAGTTTTTTTAATGAATGAGGTTTTGTGTGTAGTAAACGCAAACACTTCAGTACAAGCAACAACAGTACATTTGAAAAATAAAAATGTTATGACTATAACATCATTTTACATTATTCAGCATCTGATTTTTAAAAGCAATGTTAGCCTGTTAGATGAACTGCTAGGTACAGACACCGGTGACCTGATGGCCAAAGTATGCAACTAATTGTATGAAAAAGCACCTCGAAGAAAGCAGCCTGGCATAAGGAATACAACCATCCTCCAACAGCTAATCACACACAGATAAGGACACTTTAGGGGAAGCTTTGGTTTAAGATCAGCAGCTGACACTTTGAAAGCAATAGTTACAAATACCCACTAACCCTAACCCACTGTCAAAGGAAGCCAAGGGATTAGCAAACAAGTTGTATGACTGTATTCATGGTATTTGACAGACAACAAGATACATGAAGTAATTTGGACTGAGAAGTTGTTATTTTATTGACACTTGGATAACCAGTATCTTGGCTAATTCTACTTGGACATGACTTTATGTCACGTACTTTCACAATGCACCATAGGTTTGTGGTGACGTTCTTTCTTGCACACTAAAGACTGGTGAAAAAAACACCAAGAACCTGTAAAATCTCAAATCTTCCACGAAACAGGGGAAAGTCCAAATAACTTGCTTGGAAACATTTTAAGAATTAGCTCCATTTTCCCAGAATTTAAGGAAAAACTTAAGAACACAACTATCAGTATAATGGAAGATTTGCTAAAAGAAAAACGCTCAGTCTGTTAATTGTAAACAGTTACCGAGTCCAATGCCTCAAAAGAGATACACCCAACCACTATTGCATGTGAAGTCTTACGGGATCTCCTGATAAAAGAAAACCATATACAAACACTGAAGTGATTTTTTTTCCCCTGTGTATCATTACTCTTACAACATTTGGCCAAGTCCTATCTAAAAGATGAAGTTGTGAGCTGATAAGACTGTAAAGCTATGGTTTGCAACTCAACAAAAATTCTGAATTATTCTTGCGCTTAAAATAGAAGCAGCTCCATATGTGAAAACACTGGGTTTAGTCATAGAACAGAATCACAGAATCACAGAATGGTTTGGGTTGGAAGGGACCTTCAAAGGTCATCAGCTCCAACCCCTGGCCATAAGCAGGGACATCTCCAACTCAATCAGGTTGCTCAGAGCCCCATCCAACTTGACCTTGAATGTTTCCAGGGATGGGGCATCCACCACCTCTCTGTTCAACCTGTTCCAATGTTTCACCACCCTCATCGTAAAAAATGTTTTCCTTATATCCAATCTAAATCTACTCTCTTTCAGTTTAAAACCATTATGCCTTGACCTATCACAACAGGCCCTGCTAAAAAGCTTGTCCCCATCTTTCACCTAGACCCCTTTTTAAGTACTGGAAGGTCACAATAAGGTCTCCCCGGAGCCTTCTCTTCTCCAGGCTCAATAACCGCAACTCTCTCAGCCTTTCTTCGTCAGAGAGGTGCTCCAGCCCTCTGATCACTTTTGTGGCCCGCTCTGGACTCACTCCAACAGGTCCCTGTCTTTCTTGTGCTCAGGACTCCAGAGCTGGACACAGTGCTCCAGGTGGGTTCTCACCAGAGCAGAGGGGTAGAATCACCCCACTTTTCATCCACCAGTACCCCCAAGTCCTTCTCTGCAGGGCTGTTCTCAATCCCTTCATCCCCCAGCCTGTATTAATACCTGTAGTTGCCCTAACCCAGATGCAGGACCTTGCACTTGGCATTGTTGAACCTTGTGAGACTGACATAAGCCCACTTCTCAATCTTGCCCAGGTCCCTCTGAAAGGCATCCTATTGCTCAGGCACAACAACCGTACCACTCATCCTAGCATCATTGGCAAACTTGCTGAGAGTGTCCTCAATGCCACTGTCCATGTGATTGATGAAGATATTAAACAGCACTGGTGCCAGTACAGACCCTTGAGGGACACCACGTGTCACTGATCTCCATCTGGCCATTGACCACTACTCTCTGGGTGCAACCATTCAACCAATTCCTTATCCACTGAACAGTCCACCCATCAAACCCATGTCTCTCCAATTTAAAGAGAAGAATGTTGTGGAGGATCATGTCAAAGGCCTTACAGAAGTTCAGATAGACAACATTCGTAGCTCTTCCCTTGTCCGCTGATGTAATCACTCCATCATAGAAGGCCCCTAGGTTGATCAGGCAGGACTTGCCTGTGATGAAGCCATGCTGGCTGTCTCAAATCACCTCCCTGTCCTCCATGTGCCTCAGCATAGCTTGTAGGAGGATCTGTTTCACGATCTTCCCAGACAGAGGTGAAGCTGACAGGTCAGTAGTTCCCAGGGTCCTCCTTTCTACCCTTTTTAAAAAAGGGTGCAATGTTTCTCTTCTTCCAGTCACTTGGGACTTCAAATGACTGCCATGACTTTTCAAATATGATTCTATGATTCTATGAAATATCATGTAGAATGGCTTGGCAACTACATCAGCCAATTCCCTCAGGACGATGGGATGCATCTTGTCAGGTCTCATAAACTTATGGATGTTCAGGTTCCTCAGGCGGTCACAAACCTGATCTTCTCTTACAGTGGAGGGACTTTGCCTCCCCAGTCCCTATCTTGTAGTCCATCCACTCAAGCATGCGGAGAGATGTTACCAGTGAAGACTGAGGCAAATGTTGTCAAGCACCTCAGCCTTCTCCTCATCTGTTGTTACCAGCTTGTCAGTCTTGCTCATCAAGGCCTGGGTATGCTTTCTCTGACCTTCCTTTTCTGGTTGACTTACCTGTAGAGGCCCTTCTTATTATTCTTTGCATCCCTTGCCAAGTTCAGCTCCAGCTCTGCCTTGGCCTTCCAGACTCCATCACTACACACCCTGATAGCATCCCTGTACTCCTACCAGGATACCTGTCCCTGCTTCCACTGCCTGTGCATTTCCTTCTTGCCCTTTAGTTTGATGAGCAGGTGTCTGCTCATTCGTGCTGGTCTCCTGCCTTCCTTTCCTGACTTCCTACACTTACCAAAGAAGAATGTTTTCATAGCAATGTATTACAAAAACGTGGTAATTACTGGACTCTCATGTAATCCAAGAGAACCTGAGTTGCAGCAGCATCAACAATAAAAAAAAATAATCAGTGAGCACAGAGTGACTCACTCAAACTTTAAATTTTCCTATTTAAAATGAGGTTGGTATAAGCAAGATATTACATAGTTATATTGTACAGGATAAGCAATAGACTCAGACCAGTGCTGTAGCTCTACAAACTTGGATTACTGACAACTATGCTCTGCTCTTCTCATATAGTTGAATAAACTCTTAAAACACAAATACTTAAATATTGCCAGTAAAAATACTTTGAAAAATATCAAACAAAAATTGCATATAGGTATAACTACCTATTTCAGTAGAGTTCACTGAATTTTAATTACTAAACTTCATTCCTTTAATCTGATCCAAGTTTAGGAATGTTTGTCTCTAAATTTTAACATGCTAATAAAATAATACAAATTCTTACACAGTTTATTAATGAAACAAACATAAACCACAGCTTTTCCTTGCTTATAGAACTTCATCTCCTGAGCAATACATCTATGATTTTTACCTTAAAACATACATTTCTGGTGTTACATTGCCCAGGCTTCTGAGTGAAATACATCATGTTACCTCTCTATTGGCCAAAATATGCAAGGTGCTGCAAAGCAGCATCAGCTGGCACGGCACAAAAATTAAAATAAAGGAAGAAAAAGAGAGAAAGAAGGAAAAAAGAAAGAAAGAAAAATAAAAAAAGAGGTAACTGCTGCACAAATTATTTCACTTGAAAGGGGAGCAGCTAGCATAAGGAATTATGCCCAGACTTTCCTGCATGGGAAAGCAGCAAATTGTTTTACCAACCTAGCCTGGCAAGTCTGAATTGCCTGCTGGTGGTTACTCACGCTGCTAAATAAGGACAGTCTGGATGTAGAGGCTTCTGATTTGTGTCTGTGAAGAATCATCCTGAGTCAGTGAGGTTTGCTGGGTCAGGAAAAAACACATTTCATGAACACAAGAGTCCTTTCTCCAGGGTGAGCTGAGGTATGCAAACACAGCAGGTACGCCCAAGCACAAGAAATCAGAACTAACATGCCCTGTGAGACAGACCTCAAACAGCTGCACACTGACACAGCTCAGGCCTCTCTGCATGACTCCTGCAGGAAAGCACAGAAAAAACTGCACGTCTAGAGAGAATGAGAGCAGATCTGACATTACTGCTGTTAACATGAAACCTGTAAGCCTTTCAGGACCAAACTGTTTCCTGCAGAATTACTCAAGTACCACTACACTGTAGCTCACTGAACCACCAGTACTTCAGTAACCCAAGAAGCTTATTAAGTTTGATCAGCATGGTATGAATTTATAGAGCCAGTTCAAAATCTGGAGGTGCAGCCACATAAAACTAAACACAGTGCAGGAACATCCTTACAGTTCTGCAGAGCACAAGATACAGTGGAATTTAGGCTGGCTGGCTACGTATCAAGTGTATTTTGCTCTGCACTTCTAACTATGTATATTGCTATCCCTGCCATACGACGTATTCCAGGCTTCCACCGTCCTGGGTGTCAAAGATGTAAGTAGTACATGGAATCCAAGTTTCCTTGTCAGTCTAAAATGAAGACACTGAGGACACCCTGCAACAGCCAAAAAATCCTAATTTTAAAATATGAAATACAGAAGACGGCTCCCTTACATTTGCTATTTTATTACCCTGCTCAATGGAACATGCTCTAGTTTTCTGTATTTGAAAGTCAAAAGCCTTGAGTTTTCCAGCTCGGTCATTCACCATACACGGTGCTAAAGCTCCCTCTGCTGTTTGTACAGGCAGTGAAGTTTTACACCTCAGCGTATCCATCACACGAAAGTAGATGTGAGGAGTGCAGATATCGGTCACAGTTAAAAACCAACCAGGCCCAGAAAATTTCAGAAGCCAGAGAGAAAAACAGAAGCATAGAGTAAAAGAAAAGAAGTATAAATTTATTATAACACAAAATTGAACCTTTCCATCCAATGAAAAAGTCAAATTCAGACTTAAGGCAAAATGTTGTTTTAGCACGTTAATGCCAGAATGATCAATTAAAAATATTTTTCATGTCTTCTTACAAAGTACTCTGAAGCACTAATTGATATGCAAAGTTACAAGGCACACATAGAAGAAAGAATTACCCATACTCCTTTATACAGTATTTTAAATCTATTTACACAGTACTTCTATATTCAGCTCAGCACAACCACTCAGCCTTAAAACTCAGCAAATCTGCAAGAAGGTGGCCACAACATGTATTCAAAATACCTTTTCTATATTAATTAAGTGGAATTTTTGTTTTTAATAACTGTAAAATGATTTTTTAGAAGCAATATGAAAGATCAGTATGCTCCTAATCTGGAAATTAATTTCTGGAAGTTGTTGAGTTTTAGCACAGGTTTTAATCAAGCCATACATACTTCCAAGTAAGAATTAACAGAAAATTAACATATAAAAATGAATAATCTAAAAATGCTTTTAGGATTGAATACAGATTTCAGAACCACCTCTATCATGCCTAAATTATTAAAAGATCTGTTCTGCTCTGCTAAGGGGTAATAAAATTACAAAACTGTAGCAGTCAAAAGTATGTTTTATATTTTACTAGAGAAACAGAAATGTTTATTTTCAGTTGATTATTTCTTAAACAGTTTGACAAACATTTATGATATTGAAAAAACAGTAACTTTTAGGTAAAGCTCATACCTGTACCATGGATAAACAAAGTTTTCCAGCACCAGCTCAAGCACCTGTGCAGATAAAAACAAAACCACATTACAAAATCAACAGTTCACCGTAAATCCTTCTTAGAAGAGTTAAAAACACAAACACAGTCGAAAACACACAGAACATAACTGACACATCATAAAACTACAACATACAAATGTCTACGTTGCAATCCTGCTGTGAGATCAATCGTTTTGCATAGTAATCATGACGTTGGGCAAACAGCAACAAAGTGATGGTGTCACCAGGTACCAATGTGACACGGCTGCCACCAGTACTGTTGACAATGTGAAGTGCAGTGTCCTGGCTGCTCTGACAGGAGAACGCTACGAAAAACGTAATCTTACCTCAAACAGCCCTTCCCTAACTGTTCAGATCAGTCACTGTTCTTTTCTGATGTAGTGTCGAGTTTCCCACAGGCACCACTCCCCATCCCTACATTTAGACACCTATTCATCCAAACCTCCACCTTTCCCAACTCTTCCCACCCTCCAAGTGGGATAGTTGATATGCTCACCACTCACAGAGCAAGCAAAAGAAGAATCCTAAAAAAGCAATCTCTAGGAAAGCCATTCTCCTTTCTCTGCCTCCTGCACCACAGATTTCAACTAAGCGTGCCTTGCAGTTCAGCCATCTCTCTCTCACTTCCCAAAGTCCTTGTCCTAAGTGCATCCTCACAGCCTTCTCCTCCCTTTTCCTCTTCTCTGTATATCCCACCCATATTTATCTCCACAGAACCTTTTCCACCCTTTCCATCAAGCCTGCTCCTCACAGGCCAAGCCCTTGGTTGCCCTTTCAATGCCTGGGTTAATCAGGAAGATTAACTCCCTCAACCAGTGCTGTGGCAGCCATGCCACAGGCGTGCTCCAGTGCAGCGTGGCTTTCAGTGTCACAGCAGGAAGGGAGGCAGGGGCCCTCAATCAAGGGGCTGCCACCACCATACACAACGTGTACTGCTGGCTGGACCGCAGCTTTGGCATCCCTCCTTACAACAGTTTCAAGTAACTCTTGCAGTTCTTGCACCATGATTAGCAAAACTTCTGAAGGAAAGGGAAAATGTCAAGACAGTGCCAAGAAAAAAAATATATATGAGTAAGGAGAAGGAAAGATGAAATTTTACTGAGATTTCTCCTCCTTCACTATAATCCCAAGATACACTTGGTAGTACCCTCTCCGGTTGCAGCCTATCCCTCAGCTGGAATCACAGCTTTACAGATCAGTTTGTGCTCAGTAGCATCGATGCTGATCAGGGCTGTGAGAGAGAAAACGTGTGTTGCTATGGGAGGCTGCTGTGCCATATTCTACAGAAGGAAAGATTTTTGCAAAAGAAGTCACTGTGTTAAAAGGAAAATGTAAAATCTGTTTGAAAGGAAAGCTGAATGTAACAGCTGATACACAAGTGTCACTTATGAGAATGAGTACTGCTGCTCTTACAGGATCTGCTGCTGCACTCGCACCATGTGCACTGCAAGAATTCAAGACTTGCTAAATTTATACTGTGTTTAGGGCACTACATGCTTCTGCTCCACTCATGATTATAAAAGCACGCTCAGTAAAATGCACACCACAGCTTTTTTAATTCCTCTCAATTCTTAACTTGAGCAGTTGATGAATACTCTTTTTCTGTCTCCATTACTAAGAATATCACCTACTCAAATTTTATAAGATACTCTCTTTTACAGTTGTTCCATTTCAGTGATTTTCCTGAGTTTGTTTTTAAGGCCAAAGGAGAAATTTTGTTCCTTCACCCTCTCTCAAAAGGGATGTTTTCCCATTTGGAATAACTTTAGATGTCTGTGTTGTGGACCATATAAAGTCATCAGTGTCTTTTATCCTACCCCTATGTGCAGTAATAGGTCTTGAAATTGTAATATGATCATGTGTTGGTGATGGATGGGTAAGAAAAGTGTCACGTCTCCCATCATGTCTGTGTCCCCCACCTCCCCAAAAAAATCTCTCATCTTTCCATTAAAAGTGGGGTGGAAGGGTGGAGGGAGATGACAACTTCCCAGACCAGAAGAGATCAAGAAGCCCCAGATAACCTTCTTTGGAAGTTAATCTTCACACAACGGGAAGGAGATCACATCCAGCTTCAGTCAGCAAACCCAGACCATTGGCCTTAAGAGCAATAGATCAGACTACTCAAAACAACTTTCCTGAAGCCTTCCATAGCAAAGCAAAAGCAAAGGTCTGCAGAAAAGTCCACACTGTGCATGTGTCAGTTAAAGCATCCCTTTTCTTTCTCCCTCCACTTTTGCTATGTCTCCCCATCAAGAGTGTCGACAGCAGCCCATCTTCCACTTGGAGTGGAAAGTGCACTGTGCCAGCCTTCAAGCACGAGGCAGTGTCCTCAACGGGACTGCAACACACTCCTCAAAGAGCTTTCTTTATCCATGACTGCTACTTCAGAACTGGAAGCCTGTCCACCACCCACCTGTCATTGCAATTTCAGCTCATCAGATGTTAACATAACTTGTTGACACTCTCTTCACCTGCAGTCCTGCTTCTAAAGCCACCAGAAGAATTGTTTCCAGCAGTGAGAGATCTCGCTCTTACTGCTAGCTAGGCCAAAGCTGGCTGAAAATCATCTTCCTGTGGTTGTTAAATCAGCAAGGAAAGCAGGCAAGATGCAAGCCCTGATGACTCAACCCACTCTGGATAAGGTCTCCTTGAGATTCATCCCATGTCTGTAGTAACCATTTAAGTTGAATCATTTCAGACTCACCAGCATCTCTCTTGTTACCTCCTGCTCCCACAGCCACACAGTAAGTATGGGCTTTATGGTAATGCTTCCACATGACGATGCCATGCAGATAATCCCACTGGCCAGAGACCCAGAGGCAGCATGCACAGAGACAGACAGCTAACTCAAAATGGACTTGAAGTCCACCTATCACCAGTCCCTAATACTGAAGGTGAAGACACATTCTAATAGAACCCGAATTATATATATGGCCTTAATAAAATTATCTTGATCCTGTACACACAGAAAGCAACCCCTCTTTGCACATTTACTAAACACATGGCATGGCAGAAGCAGTTATGTATGATGCTCCATTGCACCAAGGTGATGTACTGAAGCTAGAAGAGAGCTACAGTGTGAAACCATCCATAGTGCACAATACAAGCACTCAAGGAATACCAGGCGACTGCCTGCCTGTAAGGGGAGTTCAAGGCATATGGTTCAGTTTTCTCTTGAACCCTATGAGCCATCCAGACTACAGTAGTGTGATTCTGTAAGTCAGAAAAAAACCCTGTCACATCATCCACTGCACTTTCATGAAGCACTAGGAGAGCAGGATGTGTGTACCCACTTCCGTTCTAGCAACACCAACAATATTATTCAAGCTCAATTGCTCACGCTGCGTACACATGCCAACAGAGTAGACAGGACATCTTAAAGAATGACAGCTAATGAAAAGCAATTTCCTTTTCTGTAAAGTACTACTCTCTGGTTTTAAACACAAATGATGAATCATTTCATTTAAAGCCTACCTATTTTTCAAGCACTTTGCAAAATGTCTGGTTCTACTACATGTGAGCAGTTTTGAATTGGAAAGAGATTACAAGTGTAAAACCAAATGCAGCAGGTAGCAATAGACGCAGCAGCTGAAATACAAAACTTAAAAAAAGACAAATTCTGTTCTAGCAATTACTGCAACAGTACAAGCTAGTCAGTCTACTGCTGCTGAGACAAGCTTTCTGTAGACTGCCACAGAGCAGACCCCAGTTGTCAGGAGGAGGAACTGTGATGAATGATTCAGTAGCAGAACAGAACTACCAGGACAAATGAGACTGGGAAGAAGCAAGGACTTGATAAGTAAACCACAAAAACAACTTGAAAAGCCTTAAAAAGATGGTACAACTAGAAAGCTGAGACCGCTTCCTGGGTGTAGAACAAGTGACTCCCAGTAAGAAAGCATGCAGGCCACTGTGCTGCTGCAAAAGTTCAGGACTGGCAAGGAGCACGTTCAGACAATACCTGATTTCTTGTCATGCATTTTTCCATTTCTTACTTTTAGGAAAGAAAAATTAAAAAAGAAGAGAGAAAATTCTGGTCCCATAATCAATTCAAGAACCTGAGAACTTCAGAATTAAAGAAAAAACTGTGATACCAACAGACAGACAGCACCTTGACCCACTACGGCATTTCTTGCATGAAGCTGATCAAGAGCACCTTTCTACAGACTTGACTTGCAACCATCCCTCGGATAGCAAAAATGAAATCGTAGATTATAACAATAAAATTACATTCTCTTTTATACAATCTGCAACACCTGAAATTATACACAACTCAAAACTGACCAACAGATATCACAGCCTAATTCAAAAAGAAAGAAAACGTTGGAGCAACCAACATAAAGCACAAAGGATTATGCTTAGGTCACTGCAAGATTTCTGCATAGGATATGGCCCAAGCTATCAATGCCTCCTTGAGGTAGTCTGGAGTTCAACTATAATAATAAACATAAATGCAGGGAGGAGGAAAGTCAAAGCACAGGTTTTTCTTATTGTTCTAAACCATGGAGAGCAGCCAGATAACCAAAACAAGGCTGCAAAAGATTAAGAATTTGCGAAGTGAGACAAAATGTCATTACAATCCAAGAAAGAAAAATCCATGCTTGTGAGAAAAACCTGGATTTTTGTTTTGAGTGTGTATCAAATTATTATCAAGTGTAAGCACTTGAAAACACCTGAAAGCCCAAAGACTATACAACTGACTCAGATTAGAAACATTTGGAAATGAGAGCACTGCCAAAATTCTTCTACTTGCAAAAGAAGAACTAGAAAAACTAATCCAGAATAAAAAAATCTTAGAATTATTCTAAGCATTTGAAGAATCTGCTTTTCAGAAGCAGACTGGACTCCTTCAGAATCTCATTAATCTTAATTCAGGTCTCCCTGGATCAGCTTCCCTCTGATGTATGACTAATGCACAAGGGCAAACAAGAGCAGTCTCCTTCCAGCCCAAAGCAGGGTGTCCAATTCCAGCCACGCGTTGCACGCTGCCTCCCCAGAGCAGATGGGCAAGAGAAATACGGTGTGCACAGAACCCCTGCCACCCTTTTAACCAGTGCAGAAGAGGTGCAACGGGGAACAATGCAATGAGATTTCTCATTCCAAATAGCATCCCACACAGGTGAAAACGCTGGCTCTAACAGACTCCCTGTTGGGTCCATCGAAGGTGACCACCCTGGCTCACTGCTCCAGGAAGGCACGGGACTCAGGGCTGGCACTTCCCTCTAGTTAAGCATCCACAGAAAAGAATGAGAAACATGACACAGATATACAAAAGCCACTTCTAGACTGCTAAATAAAGCAGGGCCAGGGACATGCCAGAGAAGTGGAATAAAAAAGAGTCAACAAAGAAGAGCCACACCACTTTGGTAAAAGCAACACTACAGCAACAGCGATCAAATACACAATGTCAATGTGTGGCAACACATTTTAAAGATCTGTCTTAGAAGATAACTATGGTGTCTACTCATATCTTTTACAAATAACACACTGCAAACAACTTTTTTCAGCTTTAAATTCCCATTTAAGCTAAACAGGAAAGTTTCCAGTTCTTCAGCATTTACCATAGCCTTTGGTGAACTGTCACAGCCATCTCCTACCCAAAATTCTAAAAACATTACATGCACAGAAGCATTTATTTTACATCCTCTTATTAAAACAAGAGGTTTAAATAAATAAGCCTATTGAAATTATATTCAGCATTATTGCTACCTAAATACACTTGAGCCTAAATTTATTTAAAAAATCAATAGATTTAAGTAAGTTTAAAACAATAAATGTTTACTTCTGAAATTGCAGAGGAAGCCACTACATTAAACCAAAGGAAGTCAACCACCTGTTTTGGTTTTTTTTTTAAAATATTCCTCAACTGTCCAACCCTCCCTTCCCTTAGGGTTTCCACTCCTTTGCTACTCTTGCTGTGGGCGATGCCCAGGCCACCATCACGCACAGCTGAATTCAAGTGTTGAGTTATACCACAAACACGCACAGCTTTGACTTCATGCACCACGTGGTTCACTGTGAGAATCCTCTCACTTCTGCCATTTGTCCATCGTCCCACCACAGAACTCCAAAGTCAGAATTCTCAACAAACGGAGGTAAAGCTACATGTGTGCTTGTGTATTTTCCTAGCTTTAAAAAAGGATGACAGATTACCATTTAGCTGCCAATATGTTTCATCAATTAGGAGTCAATGGGAAAAAAAAAATAAAACCCCAAAAAATTGCTCTTCAGATAGCTCTTTTTAAAGAGAAAAGAACAAAATTAATTTCCTCACTTACTGTCTTATTAAACCAGGTATTTATGCTATTCTTCTTTGAGTAAATTCACGAATTTCTTTTCTAGACAGGTTTTGTTACAGCTCTGTATGATGATTTTAAATAGCTACCATCACATTATCATCTTCATTACAGAAATCTTGTAGCTGAAGCAAATCACCACTTCAACAAAAAACCAAGCAGGCCAAAATCCTTTTTGAGAATCCATCATGGTTGATTATAATTGCTCTTTCCTATAAACTTCCCAATTTACATAGATATTTCTTCTCTCTTCTAGGCACACTGCTACAGGAACAGCCACATCTGCATTAACAAGTAGGCCATCTCGCCCCTGTGCTCCCAGCGTATATACTTCTGATTTGACTTTTAAAGGAACAAGTTAACATACACGGGAAGTACATCTGAACTGTCTACTGACTCAGAAGTAACAGGTCTAAGAGATACGCAATAGAAACTCGCTCAAAGAGAAATGAAGCAGCAATTACCTCTGACAGCGACGCATCAACCTTGGAAGGCACTTTCAGATCCAGCCACGGCTGATAGTTTTCCAGAAGCAAAGTAGGTCTGTAGGAGAGCACAGAAAAGTCAATGCAACAATACTTAATTGAAAGTTTCCTACTGCTGTGTACAAAACGTAAGAAATACTAAGCTTACCTGTGCCTTTTGCATTTGACCTTGCCACATACAGCACAACTGTGACCGTGGGGAAACAGCTCCGGCAATTCTAATTGCTAGGAGAAGATATTTGGACAAGTTTACATTCCTCAAAATGACAGCTCTCTTGATACAATGATACATTTGTGAATTTCATCTGCCCGTACATCAGTTGGTCTAATTACACACCTGCTAGTTTCTCCACAAAACTCAGAGCCTTGAACTATTGTAACTGTAACATTTTTAATCCTATGGAATTCTACATTAAATCACCTTGAGTCAGAAAACAACAACTTCCTTTGGGAATGTTTTTTTTCTTTGAAATGCAGTACCATGTATAGACGTTTGAACATAATCAGCAAAGAAGACTTAGCAGTAGCTTGCCAAAGGAAGAGCATCTTTAAAAAAGAAAATGCCCGAATGAAAGACAATAAAACTCCATAATTTCTCAAATGCTTGCTACTCAAATGCCTAAATTGAAAAATGAGCAAAGCAGAAAATAACATCCACGAACACCCCCAACAACTGGCTTTACAGCCACGCGTAGATGTGACTGGACTATACACAAGTGTATGAAGAACCCAAACTCTTGATCATTGTATATTTGCTACATGACATCTATCTGTCAGTGGATATGATGGACGGTGGATGTGTAGCATTTCCACAAGGTACAATTCCACAAGAATTCCCATCCAATACCTATTGTTACCAGATTTAAAGCAAACACGAGAGTGTTAACAGATATATTTACCTTGGGTTTATATTTTATTGTAAAAAGAATATTGGGCAAGAGGGAATCCGGTCCCAGTGAGCAGTAGAAGGTGACGACACCAGC